CCTTCAGCAGCAGCGAGGAGCAGCGCTGGGATCACAAACCATCGCTGATGCCCATCTCCCGCTGCCGTCATTCCAGCCAGAACCTGGGCTGCCTATGGCACATGCTGCTGCCCCTGGAGCTCAGCTGACCCCGAGGGCACTTCAGGAAGCCCCGGCCTGGTGTCACCTCTGCAGGGATAGTTTTGTGCTGATAAAAGCTACCGATGAATCAACAGGAAGCTGAAATCCCTGATTCTCATAATTGAGCATCTTTGTCCGTTTGTCAGCAGTTTATGGGCAATGACTCCTGCAGGGATTTAGCTGTGTTTAGTCACAGGATCATTCTGTCTCTTCCTAGCAGAGAGCTAAGTTTAGCACAGACTCACTCTGCAGAGGCTGTCGGTGATAACCAGCCCTGGCATCCTTCCCACGGCTCAGCAGGAGCAGCCGGGTCCTCCTCGGAGCCACTTCAGCTCACCTCCACCCTCCCTGCTCTGCTCCACAACTGCCGGGACACTGGAGCACATTTCATCCTCACAGACAGCATTTATGGCTGTTTATTGCTGTTTATTGACAGCCTGAAGCGTTCAGAAACCTAGAAACTAAAGCAGTCCCCATCCAGCCTGGCTGGGTTTGTCATCCCAGAGAGTTCCCACCATCAGGGGCTTCCCAAAGGGGTTCTGAACATCAGGAATAACCTGCCCTTGGTGTGTGGCTTCTTGCTCTGGTTACACTTCACTATCACTTGTTGTGATTTATTTGTGTTATCATTAATTACAACACTTCCAGACATATTTTGTCGTAAATGTAAGCATCTAGGATGGTTCTAATTCTTACTCTAATCTTGAGTTTATTGTCTTCTAATATTAAGTAATGACAGAGCCTCATTACACCCCGTGTGAAGCTGTTTCCATGCTGATGGAAAGTCCTGGCTGCACTGGGAGTGCCCAATCCCACCCCAGTACCTGGAGCCTGTGGGGGCTCAGCTTTGTAACTGCTGCCTAAAACTAAATCCAAGAAACAAAAAGCCCCCAAACCTGTCACTTCTACATAGAACATCTCCCTGTGGAACGGATTTGCCCCCCTCCCTCCCAGACAGAGCTTTTCCTCCACGCTCATCCGAAGTGTGGTCTCAGCTCTGGGCAAGTGTGGGAGACAAAGGGGACCTGCCACAGTGTCCCACAGTGTGGGTGACAGTGGGGACCTGCCACAGTGTCCCTGGGGTGGGTGGCACCTGGGCAGTGCCACTGCTCCCGCTGGGTGCTGGCCCATCACCCCGTGCCTCGTGCCACCCTGAAATCCCTCTGTAAGTTCTTTCCTATGTCCCAGGTGGCCACGTGCATGTGTGCATTGGGAAAGTGAGATAATGTCACCCCATTGCCATGTCAAATGTTTCCTAGGGCTGCCAAGCTCTTCATGGGTTTGAAAAACAATATCCCTGTGCTGTTTGTTCCCTCTACTCACTCCCAAAATGCCTCTGGAAGGTCAAGTTCAAACAACCTCTGCAGAAGGACTTCATCTCTCCAGAATTTCTCTTCTGCCTTTGCTTTTTAACCCTTTTTAATTTTTTGTTTAGGATGATCAAATACCTCTTCTAAAAGTGAGCAGACATTTGCTCAGGGACACATTCCTGCTCTCCAGGGGAACACAAGCCCCAGATGCTTTGGCCTGTTTGCTGTATCCAGCCAGTATTACCTATTCGGCTCCATCCTCATTCTCTCTCTCAAAGAGAACGCATCCCTTCTCCCGGGTTGATCCCAGAGGCACTGCCTATTCCATCCTGTGCCGGAGGGGGAGCCCCCAGCAGTGCTCAGGGCTGCAGGAGCCAGGGCTCACCGGCCACAGGGTGGTGGCATCACCGTCCCGGGGGGATCCTGAGGCACAATCCAAGAATTCAGGGGCCCAGCTGCCCCTGCATGGACCCAGGCAGCACATCCCACAGCTGGGAGCAGCAGAAAATCTTTATCTTCTTCTGGAAGCAAAGCAGAGCGTGGCTGGGGCAGGGGACAGGAAACACAGGTGCCTGTGCCCATTCCTGATCTCCCTGGTGAGGGACCAGCCTGTGCTTCCCTGTGCACAGAGTCACTCTAAATTGTAATCCTTCATTTTGGAGAAGCATATCCAGGTCCAAATGACCCTGGGGAGCCTGTTTCCCTGTTCCCCCTCTCTGCTGCAGGAATGCTGCAAGAAATCTCAGAAAAATGTCCCAGCATGGGAGGTATTAAACCAACACAAGAGTTTTGGATTTATTTTTTTCAGATTACAGTTGTAAGTAGGCAGTTCAGCCCTGAGCTGGGGCTGTGCTCCCAGATCACGGACCATAAGGAGGCAGCTGGATCCTGGTTTCTGTTATTTCAGCACGGGTTTTTCCTGGACTCAGGCACAATGAAGAAGGGAGAATGGTGTGTATCAGTGGGAAGTGGGGAACCAGGGGAGAGAGCTGGGAGCACGTGGAGCCCTCCAACCCTCACCTGCACAAAGGGGCTTTGTGCTGGACCTCCCGGACACAGCAGGAACTGGCAGGAATGTTTGTTGGAGCAGGCAGGAATGTTTGCTAAAGCTGTAAAGAACTCACCATTTCATGTAAAAAAAACCCCAAAACCCCAAAAGGCAATAGATTGTCATTCAATGCTCAACATCCGTTGAAATAACAAGAGAAACATGGTTTTGGACAGTTTCTTCTGCTAAAAACATTCCTTGTCTATCTGCTGTGATAAACTGCCCCGGCACATTCCTCTCTGATTCGGAAATCCATTTCCCTGCACTTGATGTCAGAGCCTGCGATGGGAGGATGGTGGGACAGTGGGTCAGAGGGACTGTGGGACAGAGGGACAGTCCCAGCCCAGCCACAAAAGGCAACTTGGCTTGAGAGCTGCCAGCTCCCCCCACCCCAGCCAGGGCTGTGCACTGCTTGGGCACCCCCAAATCCTCAGCCTTATCCCTCCCCACTGCACTCTCCCTGCACTGCTGCTTTGGGGCAAGAACGCTTGAAAAATACTATCCATTTTTTTCATTATCCTGTCTTTTTTAAGCCCCAGGAGCCGTGGCAGGAGCTGTGCCGTCTTATCATAGAGTCCTAGAATGGTTTGGGTTGGAAGGGACCCTAAAGCCCATCCAGTGCCATCCCCTGCCGTGGGCAGGGATACCTTCCACTAGCCCAGGTTGCTCCAAGCCCCGTCCAACCTGGCCTTGGACACTCCCAGGGATGGGGCAGCCACAGCTTCTCTGGGCAACCTGTGCCAGGGCCTCATCACCCTCCCAGCCAGGAATTCCTTCCCAATATCCAATCCATCCCTGCCCTCTGGCAGTGGGAAGCCATTCCCCCTGTCCTGTCCCTCCATCCCTTGTCCCAAGCCCCTCTCCCTGTTTTCCCTCCCGTCCCTGTCGGACACGCGCCCATGTGCGCGCGTTCCTCTACTGGCCCCGCCCCGCCGCACGCCATTGGCCAGGAAAGTTTTGAGGCGGTGTGGGATTGGCTGAGAGCGGCCCGGGGGCCGCCGCGGGCGCCAATGAAAGGCGGCGCTCGGGCCGCGCGCCCGGCGCGAGCGGCGGGGGAGCCGGAGAGGAGAGCGGGAAAGAGGTGGGACCGTGCGGGAACGGACCGGGAATACGGACCGGGTCTGTGCGGGAACGGACCGGGAATACGGACCGGGTCTGTGCGGGAACGGACCGGGAATACGGACCGGGTCTGTGCGGGAACGGACCGGGAATACGGACCGGGTCTGTGCGG